TCCCCCCCCCCCCCCCCAATTTTATTATGTATATTGTCTGTGGCTTTTGGAACATGGTTTTTCATTTATTTATTTATACATTTTTATGTCCATTTTCTTTGTATAAAAAAAAAAAGTTGATGAAATCCATCAACGAACCGTTAAGGACCTCAACGAATTTGCAGTTTTAATTTAGTTATACGTTTTATGAAGTATGTCACAGTGGAAAAAACTAATTTTCATAAAAGTAAATCTGATTATTGAGCCCATGATTACAAAAATTTGAAGATTTACATCAATATCATATTATTTATCGAAAAATATCCTTCGTTTGATCTATTAAATAACTAGTATCTAAGTTTTAGTTTTAAGAAAAATATATATATGAATTATAATTTAAAAAGATAGTTAAAATCCCATCAAACAAAAAAACCAAACTAAAATTTTGGACAAAACTTCAATTTTGATAATTCTTATATTTATGGATGAAAAACTCAAACAAATCATCAAAAATATGTAATTAATTTTGTTTTTTAAAAAATATTTTTTTATTAGAAATAAACAAAAACATCATATTATTTTATTTGGTATATTCGCATATCAGCTAACCAAAAATTAAAATTAACGAAATTATATTTTTTTGTGATCAGATTATATATACTATTTTTTTTCCACGTTATAATATGAGTTTTTTTTACTAAAATTAAAGTTTGTGTGTTAGTTATTCACCAACTTTGGGAAAGTATGCGCAACTGCACAATAATCTTTTAAAAAGCAATATTTATTTGCAAACCTTATTCATTTTTGTAATTTGTATGCAAAAAATAAAAGAGCGTTACATGAAAAAAGAAACTACATGGTTTATAACTTCTCCCCAATGCCTCAAATTAAAACAAAAAAAAAAGTGTGTTTTTATACGAGGTGGAAGAAAAAGAAGAATTTAATCCAAGAAATTACATAACATGGAAAATTAAAATATGCAAACACATAAATGATGGTATAGGGTATAAATATATATATGTGAATATGAATGATATGGATGATGATGATGGTGGATGGTGGTGATGATGATGATGACGATCATGATCATCTAGAGAGCTCGGCTTTTGATGATGTCGATGCTCATCTCGCTTGGATCCGTGGCTTGCAACTCCACTTGAATCCCATCTAATTCCCTCTTGAACCTGTCCTTTGAACTTGCATACACCATCTTCATCCTCACCCTCGACGAATCCGGCGACCTATATACACATATAACGGTATAGTGTTATAATTAACCATAAAATTAGAGTTATAATTAACTATATATATATATATTGGTGTATACCAGAAAATGCATATCATTTACGTAAAACATATACATTAATGTACGTAGTTTTGTAAATAATCATAACTAGAGTTTTAATATACGTTTATAAATCTATAAAATTCCTATAGCCCCAAATTTTTTGAGAACTCAAATTAAAATCTTGGTGTGCATGGTAAAAGGCTTATCATTTACGTCGAACATGCATATATTCGGGAAAATGCTAAATCATTCACGTGAGGCATGCATCATGCATGCATGTATAGGCGTACGTATAGGCGGGAGGAAGAGAAGAGGAGAGAAGAAATGTAAACGTGTACCAGGCGATGAAGAAGATCTTGCTCTTCTGGCAGTTCTCGTTGGTGGTGAAATCGAAGTCGTAGACGGCGTAACGGCACTCGTTGGCGGGAAGAGACTCGGCGAAATCGTCGTACGTCTCTTCGGGGCTACCGAGTTTCTCGACGACGACTTGTTGACCGTCGATCCTGAATATTATGAACCGGTAGTTCCTCTTCGCCTTTAGCTCCAGAAACTTCAGCTTGCACTCGTCGTCCACCGCCATCCCCGACGCCGAGTTCGCCTTCCCCCCCATCCACATGCACATTCATCGTCATCATCGTCATCATCATCATGAGCGTATGGTGAGCATGTGAAAGTGGTATATGTGTGCATAACATGCTAGCTCTATAGAGGAGAAAGTATTGAATACTATACACTAAGCGATCATATGCATCTATAGTAAGAAATACACGCAACGATCGATTTTGATAATAAAATTTGGTTAAAATTCTTTGCATTTCATCGAAAGAGAATGAGAGAAAACCCGCAACGGGATACAGATTAGAGATTTCAAAAAAGTTCTGAGAATAGAAGGCACCATTTTTTATCAATCGATAACGGGTTAAATTTTTTCATATTTCATTGAAAGAAGAGAAAAAACCCGTAACCGGACACAAATCAGAGATTTCGAAAAGCAAAGTTCGAGAAGAGAAAGTCACCATTTCTTGTCGACACGAGAAGGATAAAGGCTCTTGTCTTTCGATTCGAGCTTTTGGATGATTGTTTGATCTGTTTGAGTCGATTCTTCCGTCGTTGTGAATTGTGAATCGAGGAGAAAAATGAGGTAAAAGGAAGAAGAAAATTAATGGAAGGGGAGGTGGCCAAAGAGGAGAGATCCATATTGTTTTAAGGAGAAGAACTCGGACAACCAAAGGCTTCAAACTCTCCCTAACCATCCCCAAGTGTACGGTCGTTTCCCCTGCTATTTTTAGTATACTAATTAGCACTATATACCCTTAGTTTTGCAACCTCCTATACACATTCCAACATATTTTACATACTTATAACATGGCATGGGCATGGACATGGGCATGATTGTTAAGTTCAGCCTTTTTCATATTCTTATACTGCATCACATTCCACTCACATGCTTTATGCTTGTGTTGATGTTGATGTTGTGTTCTTGAATCTTGTGAGGGAAACTCGAATGATCCCAAAATATCCATTATCTTCTGTCATTTGAGGTTCATTATAACGACACAAGGATATAAAAGACGGTCCATTTATCGCGAGAATACCATAACTCCCCGTGACGAATGCTTAACGTGAAGATAGACCGAGGGTTATAACAAAAACTAACACATAAAGAACCAAACAATAGTTGGACAAACCCGGGGCGATCAAAGGATACCGAAACCGTGATCATATATTTTTAAAAAAAAGCTCGTTCTTATAGATTCGGGTTTTTTTTTTTCCGAGTATTCGAAGATTAAATACATAATATTTCTCCAAGAACAACTAGATATCCAATATTACGAGTAAATTAATTCGACCGTATGTATTCCGCTTTCAACGGCAAAGGTTAGGCGTTGCAATTGCAAATGCCAAATGTAGACTTTTGATTTCTTTTTTTCCATGAAATTTGGCACATGGAACACTGCTCCTCTTTAATATCGTACATTCAAATATTTTTTATTTATCTATTTTTTAAAAAAAATATTGTAAATAGTAAACTTTATTTTTTGTCCAAATTGCAACTTAAACAAATTAACTTAACATTATAATAATAAATTTAAAATCAATATTATACTCCGTTCATAGTTTTATTATTTTTTCACCATTAAATTTTTTTATTTATTCTAGTAAATTCAGATGAAAACGCTATGTATTTCATTTGACTAATTATTATCATAAATATAGTGATTTATTATCTTGATGCTCACTCCCATCTTGAACAAGCCAATGAAGAAATACAAACTGACGAAAAAATCTAAAAGTTTATCATCGATATTTTATGGCCGGTTAAATTAATAATGATTTCAGCATTAAAACGCATATAAAATGTTAAAATTATGTAAAGTACTTAAAATATCAAATACATTTCGAATTGAGTAAAATTACGTCTAATATTTATATTACAATGAAAGCATTTTATACATGTATGTGCAAGCAAGGTGTGACCAATTCAAGCGAATAGTTTTTTATTTTTTAAATATTTAGGTGTGACCAATTCAAATGAATAGTTATATTATTAGCCAATAGTATTTTATTTTTAAAATATTTGTAAATAAACCGTGGATTAAAAGGGCCAAAACCCTCGAAAAGTTGAGAAATATATTATATTAAAGACGATCTTTGACCGTAAACATGGTGACGTGTCAAAGTCAACCACAGAGTTCAAAGATCTTTAATCTTGGACTTCTCAACTCCCATAATCACGGAGCCGACCACGACCATGACCACGACTTCTCCAAAATATGAATCGGCTTCTATTGTATGTATACATACATATACACATTATATATATATATATATATATATATATCTAAAAAGCGGAGGACATTTATTAGTAGGCAAAGCCTCTAACTCGTATGCATGTGTGTATGCATGTGTGTATGCATTGGCAGGGGGGGTAAAAAAAAAAAAAAAAAAAAAGTGGACCGTTATGGTTGGTAGAAGTAGTTTATTTTGAGTTTGTACTTTGTAGACTCCAAATTCTATTTCCCTTTTATATAGAAAAAATTAAAATATTTACGGCAAACGTTATGTTTTTCTACTCCTGGAATAATTGACGAACAAGATTGGTAGCCATTTGACATTTTTTTTAAATTGATTATAGATTTGAAATATATATTCATTACACACATTTTTCCCTGGAACCTTTTGAAATTTTCTTCCTTTATTTCTCAAATTAATTAAATTTTATAATAAATGATAAAATAAATTTATATGGAAGAGGAAATTACTATAAAAAAAAGTTAATATTTAAAAAGGGCCCTACCGGGTTCGAACCGGTGACCTCTTGATCTGCAGTCAAATGCTCTACCACTGAGCTAAGGACCCGATGTGTAGTTGATGTATACTTTATCTTATTTTTTAAATCTGTCAATTTTAAAAACAAAAATTCAAGAGAAAATCGAGTGTATCATATGAAATGAATATGTTATCTAATAACTTATTCATGCTAAAAAAAAATCGAGTGTATCATATGAAATGAATATGTTAATTTGTTTATGGATCTAATAATCTATTAAGAATTACGAAATATATAATTTTATTGATTACGATTCAAATGTCAACAATTTTTTAGGATGTTCGAATCCAAAAATTTCGGATTTTAGGTTTTACAATCTGAATACGTATCTGTAGATCTCATATACTTGAAATTTATAAATCCGAAAAAATATATCAATATTTAAACCCAAATCTTATTTACTTCAAGTATAGAAAAATTATCATCCTTAACGAAAAGAAAGAATTATTATGATATCCAAGAGACGAGATTTATTTTTTTTATTCTATTAGTTATAATTCAATGTAAGAAGGTAGATAAGATATGATATTAAAATTTTTCATTCGGATCATTTCACTAAAGTTTTAGTCTAAATTGGTAATATAAATGGGATTTTATCAAAAAAAATTAATTAATGGGATACATAATATGTTTCGAACATCTCATTGTTTAAAATAAATAGTTTTATAAGAAAACGTATAATTAATATATAGATTTTGATTTTAAACAATAATATATCATGTTAAATCTCGCAATATAACCATGAATATATAAATATAGCAAGTACATTGGCAAATAAACATCACGCCGTGGTATTTATGAATTGTCATGTCATCGAATTTTGTTAAATAACAATGCCGAATACAACGAGTAAGATCAAATGAAAAACATAACCGAATTACAACCAAGAAAATGAACCCTGATATGTTTTTCAAGACGTGATGAATATTTTCCTAAAACGTTATTCTCTCTCTACCGAGCAAAAGAGATTAGCGAGAATACATTTTGAGATACAGAGAAGAACAATAACACTTGTATTTGCTCTTCAAGTATTTCCCGACACACAGGAACTCACGGAAAAGATGAACAGAACAAATTCGATGAAGAGTTTGCAAGTTTCTTCACCAAAAACACTTTCAAATCTCTCAAATTGATGATATCTTGCGCGCCCTACTTGTCATGATGTTTTCTTTATGTAAACATCCGAAAATCATCATCAAAAGTTGTAAATCCGACAGTTTAGATGCGAAAAATCGCATATGTTAAAACTGACGCGAGTCGTGTCAAATTTCTGAACAAAACAAGTTTCTCTCAGAAAATTGGCGTGGGTCGTGTCATATTTGACGTGGGTCGTGTCAGATTTCTGTACAAAACGAATTTCCTCTCAGAAAACTGACGCGGGTCATATCAATTTCTGTACCGAAATTTTCGTTTTAGTTGGGAGGAGTGAGTTATAATTCTCTCTTCCCACCGAACTTGTTCACTGTCGAAACCAATGCACGTTTGTTGACCCATATCATATCATTTACGAATATTAACTCCTCCACCACATTCGTAATACACATGACTATGAATCTCTTGAGAGATTTATTAAATCCATCAATTTACTCTAAAATATCCAACAATCCTCCACCATTTTAGAGTAAATTATCATTGGAAACCGAACGACAATCCGTCATCCTCACAACTTTGTGCATAAATGAAAGTATATTTTAATTGAACTTCCACTTAGTGTAACGTACTACAATAAACTCGAATTACATAACTATCGTTACAAATTGAACTTCGTAACACTCGATGCACTACCAAAAAACACGCGATTTTCAATGGGTTTTTTCAACTCATTTATCTTTTGAAAATTTTTCAACGAAATTTCAACGGATTTCAACGGCATTTCAACGATAAAATCTGTTAAAATTTCGTTGATAATTTCAACGGATTGCCGTTGAAAAATGTCGTTGAAATAGTTCAACAAAATTCCAACGGATTTCGGTTGAAAAATTCAACGGATTTTGGTTGAAAAAATCGGTTGAAATTATCAATGGAATTTCAACGGATATTGGTTGAAAAATGATATTTCAACGGATTTCAGTTGAAAAAATCGGTTGAAATTTTTTATAGAATTTCAATGGAAATCGGTTGAAAAATGATATTTCAATTGCAACGGATTTCGGTTGAAAAAATCGGTTGAAATTTTTAACGAAATTTCAAAGGATATCGGTTGAAATTATTTACGAAATTTAGAAGAATTTTGGTTGAAAAAATCGGTTGAACGTATTTTATACTATAGTGATATGTTTGATACTGTATATATTATTTATATACGAATAAACATTTATACATATATTTACGTATAAATATTTTTATGTATATATATGTATAATTATTTATACGTATATATATAAATATTTATACTTATATACATATATGTATAAGTATTTATATATATATGTATATGTATAGGTGTATATATGTGTTTAAGTATTTATACATATTAACATTTGTATATGTATATGTATTAATGTTTTGTTATATCAGAAATTTAACTTGGAGCAGTTGGAAAGTTGTTAATCAGAATTATGCAGTTAAGCGTGCTCGTGCTGGAGCAGTGGAAAGATGGGTGATCTACTGGGAAACAGATTTCGAGTTCCGATTTCAGAGTTTCCGAAATCAAATTGGATACAGAGACAAAGTTCAGATTAAGTCGGATTCGGGTTAGGGGGGGTCAAGTCGGAGTCGACGCAGTATGAGTTCGGGATCGAGAATACGTTTTAAAATTTTCGTAAAATTTTCAACGGATTTCGGTTGCAAAATCCATTGAAATTATCAACGAATTTCGGTTGAAAACTCCGTTGAAAAATATCAACGGATTTCGGTTGAAAATTTCGTTGAAAAATGTCAACGAATTTCGATTGAAAATTCCGTTGAATTATTTCAACGGATAATTCCCTTGAAATTTCGTTGATATTTTCAACGGCTTTCAACGGAATAATTTTTTCAACGACGATATTGCAACGGAATTTATCCGTTGAAATTGTATAATTTCAACGGATTTTAGGTCATTTTCAACGGATTTATCCGTTGAAATTGACATGTTTTTTTGTAGTGATGAGTTATTAGTGATGAGTTACCGAGTACAATCCACACACAAAGTCAATATAAGTTCATGTGTTCCTTGACACGATAACGGCATTGTATCCATATCCATTCATAAGCACATAGATGTTGAGCCACCAACATCTTGAAGTGGTCTCACTTCATGCTTGTATAGTTGAATCCTTTATGAGATCGTGCACTGCAACAAAGCACTTTGTCAAAGGAATCATTAAGTACAACATTCTCCTTATATTGTATAACCTAGATGTTTACCTTGGGATGTGTAATTGTGAAGCATCTACAATAACATAGTAAATGATTTAACTCATTGAACTCAAGATTTAGCGTTGTACTAGACGTTGAGTTGAGATTCTTTTACTTGTGATTCATAAAACCAGCTCTAGTTCCATCCCTTGCGACATTTTGTGTACCACGTCCATTGGCAAACTTTTGTGAAAGTATCCGCCAAATTTTGTTTGGTCCGCACAAAATTCACCATTATGACCCCGTCTTTAATCAGACCATTCACATAGATATGTCTTAACCCGATATGTCTAGACTTTCCGTTGTAAACATGGCTATAACATTGCTTAGCCAATGTACAACATTATCACAATGTATTGCACTAGGCGATACCAATTTAGGCCATAACAGTATTTTGAATACCAAATTCCTTAGCCATTCTGCTTCTTTTCTAGCAGCCGTTAAGGCGATAAATTCTGACGCCATGGTCGAATCCGAAATGCAAGTTTGTTTCTTGGAAGCCCAAGAAATCGTCATTCCACCTAAAAGGTAAAGTCATCCACTCACCGAGGCATAATCCTCTTCACTAGAATTCCAACTCGCATCGGTATATCCTTCTAACACTGAAGGTTGACCCGTGTAGCGTAGACCATAATCAATTGTCTTTTTCAAGTACCAAAGTACTCTCCGAGATCGGATCCAATGATGTACGCTTGGGTTAGTACAGCATTCCAATGATGTACGCTTGGGTTACTCGTGTATCTACTCAATTTCCCTATCGCGTATGCTATGTCGGGTCGAGTGCTAGTCACTAGCGTACTCAAGTTGAGCTATCGGTTCCCCACTATTAGGTGCAAACTTAGCGCCACAATCCATCGGAATAGAAGCCGGAGGGCTTTCAAACATATCAAATCGTTTTAACACTTTCTCTACGTAATGTTGCAAACCCGACAGTTTAGATGCGAAAAATCACATCTGTTAAAACTGACGCGGGACGTGTCAGATTTCTGTACAAAACAAGTTTCTCTCAGAAAACCGGCGTAGGCCGTGTCAGATTTGACGGAGGCCGTGTCAGATTTCTGTACAAAACGAATTTTCTCTCAGAAAACTGACGTGGGCTGTGTCAGATTTGACGCGGACCGTGTCAGATTTCTGTACGGAAATTTTCATTTTAGTTGGAAAGACTGAGTTATAATTCTATCTTCCCACCGAACTTATTCACCGTCGAAACCAATACACGTTTATTGACTCATATCATATCATTTACGAATATTAACTCCTCCACCACATTCGTAATACACATGACTGAATTTTTTGAGAGATTTATAAATCCATCAATTTACTCTAAAATATCCAACAAATTTCATTTAATAAATCAATAATATTTGATATCTTCTTTTCTCTACTAGAATTTAAAAAATCTTTGGTTATCTCCCAAAAAAGGGAATAAAATTGTGGTGATGCACGCACAAAAACACATATTCATTGAAGGGGTTTTAACTTTTAAATGCATTGAACTTAGGCAGTTCCAATATATACATATCATATCATTTTCAAACAGCGGGGGTTTTGGGACACAAGCGAGACAGTGTCTTCATCCTGGAATCTCAGGAAACTTATGGCGATAAAATCCTTGGCTCACAATTTTATCAAAGTGAAAATTGGAGATGGCAAATCTACCCTTTTCTGGTTTGATAACTGGACCTCTCACGGTCCCTTGATTGAGTTTGTCGGGGAACTTGGGCCCCGTCTCTTGAGGTTGAACAGATATGCGACGGTTGCCGATGCTGTGTCTGCTGGAAATTGGTCACTTCCCCCGGCTAGATCGGACAACATACAGGAGCTTCTTATCTCGCTGGCGGAAGTCCGACCCCCATCGGCAGAAGCTGGGGACGACACTTTGTTGTGGAAACATGAAGCTCACGACTTCAAACGCTTCTTCTCGTCTGCCAAAACGTGGAAGCAGATCCGTCAATCAAAACCGAGGGTTGAGTGGCATTCATTGGTATGGTGTCGTGGGTCTGTACCCAGGTATGCATTCTTACTTTGGTAGACCATGCAGCAGCGACTCCCTACTAGGGATCGATTGCGTCGATGGGGTCTACAAACGGATGACAAGTGCGTGTTATGTGGAGTAGAGGAGGAATCCCACCACCACCTTTTCTTCGAGTGCTCTTATAGTGTCAATCTATGGCTCTATTTTGCTTCTTGCTGTTGGAGTTCGCCGCCGGATAATCTATACGACTGTCATTCTTGGATTACTCAGGCTGGAAATGACAGGGGCAAAAACAGGGAAATTCTCTCGAAACTGATCCTACAAGTGACGGTACATCTACTGTGGAATGAGCGTAACAACAGGATATTTCGGAACATAATGAAGCCGATAGATATATTGCGTAGGCGCTTGGATAAGACGATGCGGAACTTACTGCTCTCGATGAAGGAGAGGAGGGCTACAGATAACAATTTTCTGGTGGAGCATTGATATTTTCTAACTGATCGTTTGAGAATGTAACTTTTGTTGTAGCGTCTGGGTTACTTTAGTCTGGGTTACTTTAGTCCAGCTTTTGAATTATTTTGTCATGGGATCTCCTTCTATTAGATTGCTACGAGCAGTCATAGTTAAAGACCGGATGTAAATTTTTGCTACTACAGATATGAATATTCAATCATATTTTACCAAAAAAAAAAAAATTGGGTCGCCCAGATCCAGTGGAAGAGCAGTGCACGTGGAGTGGTGGTGGTGCGTGCGACCGGCACCAAAGACGTGATTTGACCATATTACCCTTTTATGAGGTCCAATAAAAGAGGACGTTTCCTTTGGATCCCTCGTTGTATCCATGCATAATTAAATGGGAATATGATTCGGACATTTCCTTGTACGTGATTATTTAGTTTACGCAAGCCTCGCAAAACTACAATCCAACACTTTTTCTGTTTCACATCTTGCAAAATTATTACCAAAACATTATATTGCCATTATATAATTATTTATGTTTTGTACTAGGAATAATTACAAGACAGTATATATATTTCAATTAAACCGGATATAATTATTTTTATAAATATTATAGTACTGTAGCTTAAACCGGAAAAAAAATTGAAACACGGTGATATTTGGATGGTTTTGGCATATATGTTTTTCAGAGATTAATTTTCTATCGATTAAATTTTAAATATTTTATTACCGGGAATAAGCATTTCTATATTTCATTTTAATTATATTTGGATTTCAATTTTTGAAAAAATAACAATTATATCTATTTTTATCGATTTCCACTAAAATATATATGTTTTTAAATAATTTATTAGATTTGTTTTTAAAACAATCTATTTATTTTAATTTTAAAAAATAAAATTCAATATTTTGTTAATTTATGATTGTACATTAATGTATTTGATTTTGTATATCGAAATAAATATGATATATGAACTCTAAAAATCATATAATTAAATAAATATTTTAAAAAGTGTACATAAATGAATATGATATTAATGCGTATGCATTTTTTTCTTTTTATGTTTATTTTTATTTATAAGTTATATGAGCGTATATTCAGTTCGAGGCCACTATGATAGTCGCACATCACAGAAATTTCATCTTTTGATTTGATTTTTTACTTGTCTTAGAGTTTGTTTTGGCCTAATTCATTTAACAATCTTAAATTACATTAAATTATTCAAATAATTTACTTTTTTTACAAACAATTTATTATACAATTTTACGTGTAGTCAATTTAAATAGAATACCTCAATGTTTATTTCTTAAAAACGTTTCAGAAACGCATTTTATAGATTGTGAAATTTCATTAATATAATAATTGGACGAAAAAGCTTTTACCTTATTAACATATTAGTTCTCAAAATAACCTAACATCTGTTCATGTGTTAATATATATAAATCATTGATTTGCTAAAACTGTTGGCAGTTGTTTTTTATTTACTTTTAAAATAAAATATTATAATATAACAGTTTATAATAGATCATCATTTTCATAATTCTAATAAAAAGAAAAAAAAATGGGATTTGTTTCTCAATTTTGTTGTATATTTACAATGTATCATTTTATTTTTCCGATAACACCAATGATCTAAAAGAATAAATGTAGTGGAAATAATGAAAATTAATAAAAAAAAAAACATGTTTTTCACAAGGGAAAGACGAATAGTAAGACATTCTACTATAAAAATACAAATACAAGAAATAATTGCAAAAACGTTAGACGTATTGGCATGATCGATTGGGTCACTCTGATTCAATAATGATGTGGAGAATTGTGGAAAGTTCTAATGGTCATCCATTAAAAAATGGAAAGATTTTTCAATCTGATGAACTCACATGTACCGCATGTTTTGACAAAAAAAAAAAAGTTAGACGTATTATGGTTGTGGTCGGAAATTCCAAATAACATGCAAACGTCTACTCCTTTTCAGCCGACAATGCAAACAAGTATTTTAGCGAATATATTGTAAATTATAGTTTTAGCACGTTTCTGTGTATCATGTTACAAAGTCATGCAAGTGGAATTGAATTTTTGAATTGACATTTTTTTATTTGTTTGTGGACCGACCACAAAGATGTATTTCAAGATTTTTAAAAAGAAGGTCAGAAAAAAATATGTTTCTAAATTAGTATCTATTTTGGCATGCCAAAAAAACCAATATTTGTTTTTGTTTCTTAAAATATAGAAAACCCAAAGTTTATTTGGAATCATTTCATTTCTCCCCTTTTTGTTAGGTAAAGGTCAAAAACAAGTTTCTATGTTAATAACAATATTATTTGTATATTCAATATTTTAAAGGGATCGAATTCTATTTTAGTTAATTTCTTATTGAGTCATTATCTTAGAAAAATGCTCATTCATGTAGAACCCGATTTTAAACTTAACAAAAAAATGTAATTTTAAGAATAAAATTACATTAATTTTTGGATATACAAAATTAAAATTACCCAAATAATATAATATATTTTTTTATAAATAATGAGTTTATATGTTTCTTTTATAGTGATTTTGTACAGGAAAGTACGGTTTAAAAAAAGAAGATAAAAAAATATATTGTTTTTATAAAATAATAATGCTGTTTATCCATATAGTGGTAAGTTTAAAAAAAAAAAAAGATACATAAAAAGACGCATGCAAAATCACGACGGACGGCGGGCACGTGGAAGCTTTCACTTCTCGAACGCGTGTGTGTGTGACCAAGCCTTCGTTCAGACATGACCCTTTTGAGTTTTGACCTTCTTTTACTTCCGATTTAATTAGACAAACGTAAGACTACACGTAAACAGCATAAAATATGCATCATATATATATATATATTAAATTATGCTTCTCTAAAATTTAAAATTTTTTAAACTTATTAAAAAAAATTACTGGTACGTAGAACGAAATTTATTTTGGCATAAACAAAAGTTATCGAATAAGTATCGTTTTATAATTTTTTTTATCTCGTTATAACTGTATTTTTTTTATATATTTCAATGGTATGCTCTGTAAACAATTTTTTATTTAAAAACATATGAATTATATATATCTACTTAATATGCCTTTTATATAATTGTAGACATTTCCGATATAAAGTGGTGGCGGCGTATTTCACACATTAGGCCAAAATTTAAGGTTTCACATAATTCTTCTAGTTGTATACGTGTCAAATTAAAAAAAAAAGTAAATCAGTTATATATTTCAATATTGTTCTAAAAATATGATGGTGTATAATATATAGTAAATCATTATGTTATAATCCCCAGATAATATTTATAGTTGCTTGTTTTAGAAATATATAGTTCACAATGAGAACTACATATATATATTCACATATTCATGTGTATTAGTTCAATTAAACTATTATAAAAGCTTATTTTATAATTTCACTCAAATGATTTAGACGAAGCGATTTTAGGAATATCTTTTAGCATTTTGTCTTATAGTGAAAGTAGTTATTAGTTTACATAACAAAAAAAAACTGCAACTTCGGACAAGAAAAAACTTAATATTTAATAAAACACCCCAAAAAAAAAACTGTGAAGCGCATGAAAAAATCATGATAATTTTCGTAAGTTTTGTTTAATAATATTATAAGCTTGGCGGTCAAACGGAACACATTGCACAAAGTACATATTATATGATTTTATTAATTCAAAGGTCAACCAAGAAGGACGGATCTCATTGGTCCCACACCAAAGCCCTCTCTATAAATACCCCATTTGGTTCCATGCTCATAACGCACCTCCAAACATTCTCTCATTTGAACCAAATACAGTTCCATCAAATCACACAAAATCACATATATATATATATATACATATATACACACACACATATATACGCACATATATACTTCCACATACATAGAGGTTTAAACGAGAGTGCAGAGATAGATAGATGGAGAATCTTGATATGTCTTGTGCCTTTGGCATCTGTGTTGGCGCTTTGGGTGTCATGCTTGGCGTTCTGTTCTTTAAGCTTGTTTTGTCTTGCTGGGTATTCCCAATTCGAGCTCTAAGGAAGCTTCGAAAGAACGGTTTCGCCGGTCCATCTCCGAGTTTTCCTATGGGAAACCTCGATGAGATGAAGAGGTTGAAAGTGGAGAGTGCGTGTAAGACGAAAGCCACCGCCATCACCCACGATATACACTCTGCGGCCCTTCCTCATTTCGCCCGGTGGCAACAACAATATGGTAAAGAAATCCGGGATCTACGTACACACCAAAAAAAAATACACACAGCTTGAAATGTTATACGATATAGTTTGATATGTAGGTTAAAATCTTCGAGGGTTAATAATTCAATTGGCTTCTTGAGAATGCATATGGTTAGTCAGTCGTACCCAATATTTATAACATCCGTTATTATTATTGACGTACATTTGTTCGAACGTTTCGGTGATCATGCAGGAAAAGTGTTCGTGTACTGGCTAGGGACCGAACCGTTTTTGTATGTGGCAGATCCCGAGTTCTTGAGTGTTATCTCGAAAGGTGTGTTGGGAAAGAGCTGGGGAAAACCAGATGTGTTTAAGAAAGACCGAGAACCCATGTTTGGAACTGGCTTGGTCATGGTCGAAGGCGATGATTGGACCCGACACCGCCACATCATCACTCCTGCTTTTTCCCCTCTTAACCTTAAGGTACAATATAGCAAGTTTTTACTATAAAAAACAATAGTTAAAAGCTTATCTTATCGCGTTTTATAATATATATTATCGCCTACGTAATCTTGTATTATGTTGAGTTGGATACCATGCATGCATGGAGTGGAATACTTCTACCCTTTTGATATCCTTCCTAACTTCATACACGTTTATAGGCCATGACAAGTATGATGGTAGAGTCGGCGACCAGTATGATGGACAGATGGGCCGTACAGATCAGTTCTGGCAATCCCGAGTTCGATATGGAGAGCGAAATCATAGCAACGGCCGGAGAGATAATCGCCAAGACAAGCTTCGGAGTCACAGGAGAAAAAGGACGTAGGGTTCTCAAGAACCTACGAGCCATGCAATGCACACTCTTCATGTCGAATCGCTTCGTGGGTGTGCCGTTAAGCAACGTTCTCGGATTCAAACAAACCCTAAAGGCCAAAACACTCGGTCGGGAGATCGACGGTCTGCTTTTATCAATCATAAACGAACGGAGATCAGGATTAGTCCAACGAGGCGAAAACGATGTTGTCAACCACCGTGATCTGTTGGGGTTGTTGTTGAAAGCGGACGAGGAGAAGGGAGGGAGAAAATTGACGGCGAAAGAGCTCGTGGACGAGTGTAAGACTTTCTTTTTCGCCGGCCATGAAACCACGGCTCTGGCGTTGACGTGGACGCTTATGCTTCTTGCCATTCATCCCGAGTGGCAGGAGAAGCTCAGGGAAGAGATCCGACAAGTGGTCGGAGATTCCGAGATTGATTACAACAAACTTGGGGGCCTAAAGAAGGTATGTACATATGCTACACAGATATATACACACACATACACGATTTATACGCTCACGTGCACGTATACTGTTTCTAAAAACTTAGTACATGACGTGAAAAATAAAGCGTCATCGTATAGGGGACCATATAATTAGAAGTGAACGCTGTTCATGTTTGGTCGAAGATAACGACATCTAGGTCAAGGCTCAATCACCACACGTACGGATCAAACAGGTTTTTTTTTTCTCTTTAAAAAATAAACAAAACTTTTTTTTCCATGTGTACACATTTTGCCACGTGGCAGAACCCGATCCATTGCGCACACAAAATATTTCAACGACCGTGTCCTGTATCAAAACACGTGCAAGTTGTTGTCCTTTTCCCAATAAGCAACTTTTTCTTTTCTTCTTTAGTGTATACATCGTTCATAGCCTCTTGAAAAGTTTTTGCCGTAAAAACAAAGACATGTGAAAATGGTTGCTTGTAGATAAAATCTACACCGTATATTTTGCGATTAGTTCGCATGTTTCGTATTAGCTGTTCGAAATGTGAATTATTATTAGTGATAATTCAAAGAATTTAAACAATAATTTAATTCCATTTCATCGGAACTCTAATACTCTAAACATATAATAAAGTAATATAATACAAATAGAAAATATATTAATTAATATGCAAATTCTTATATTAATTCTATCAATGCAGATGAGTTGGGTGATGAACGAGGTTCTCCGGCTATATTCACCGGCACCAAACGCGCAAAGACAAGCTCGGAGAGACATAGAAGTCGGCGATGGTATTATCGTCCCGACCGGAACCAACATATGGATTGATTTGGTGGCGATGCACCGCGATCCCGAGCTGTGGGGAGATGATGTTTTCGAGTTTAAGCCCGAGAGATTTGCCGAGGATTTGCACGGTGGATGTAAGCACAAGATGGGGTTTTTGCCGTTCGGATTCGGAGGGAGAATGTGCATTGGTCGGAACTTGACAGCTATGGAGTACAAGGTTGTATTGACTCTGGTTTTGTCCCGGTTCGAATTATCGGTTTCGCCCCGTTATTGCCATGCACCTACGTATATGCTCTCTCTTCGTCCCGGTTATGGTTTGCCTCTCTTTGCACGTCCACTTTAGATCTCTCTCTCTGTTGAGAGTATATTCTTTGCATTCATGCAGAAAGGAATTAATACGTATACGTATACGAGTAAAAATGGCGTTATAATTTTACTTTACATTAAAAAAATTCAGTAAATGTTTTATGTATTTATGAATGTCATATATATATATATTTACTATAGGTGTATCTTTGTGATATATCGTTTGTTTCTGTAATGTTTTGTTAATCAATGTAATAAGTATTTTTTGTGGTGTGCAAGAGTCTTTTTTATAGATAAAATCAGTATTTCTCAATTGAATTCTTTATCGTTGATGAATATATATATATATATATATCCAAACTTTACACTCCAACTAACAAGTAATTAACAATTAGTAGGTTTTACTCGAGTTTAAATATGTTATTAACAACTTCTATAGTGATTAAATAAAAAATCTGAGAGCCATAAGCAGTAAAATCAAACAAACTTCGGTACATAAGAGCAAAAGGAATTAAATGTTTAGATAGGAGCCAACTATGCAAATTAATTTATAGTGGGTTACGTTATAAATAATAAATAACTAAGGGGCCAATATAGAAATTAAACTAAAAGGGGAAGCTCAACACGAGTTTACAGTCCGCTCTGTCTCGTCTTCGGGCAATGGGACGGGATCGATCTTTCCGGTAGCTGTATGAATTGTGATACCTTTATAATATCTTTTTTTTTTTTATAACTAGGATGATCCCTGATCCTTTGACCCGACTACATCTACTATAGATATGAAATCAGTCTTTGTATATGAATCATTTTGATCCAAAAATTACATCCCTCTCCACCAATGGAATCGAACCCAAGATCTACCTTTATAAATTTATATCTAAAGATGTACGTACGACATAAATTTGCATCATATAGAATCAATAATGATAAAATTATTTCTTATAACCCGTATATAATTTTATTTATTTTTAAACGTTTGTCCGTAGGACATATTTTGTGCTCTTTGGTATTTTATCCTCTTTTCTTTTTTTCATTATGTTTTCCGTTTGTTTATAGAAGATAAAACACCAAAAAAACTTTACTTTTTCGAAAAATAAACTGGAATTTTCAATTATACATAAATCTAAATAAACTATTTTCTTATAATCTTTACTATTTTTTTTGTCGCACACAATTAACATTTTTATTAAAAAAAACTAGAATTCTATTTTTACCTGTAACGAAATTAGTATATTTAAAATAATATTTATATTGACAAATTAATATCATAAATGTATTTTTCATTAGAGTTGAAACGGAGTAATAAGATTACAGTTTTTTGTAATAAAGATTTATTTTAATTTATATATAACTGAGTTTTTAATAGAATATTGTTTTAGAAAATTAAGAATTATTCGGTGTTTTTTTTATAAAATTAATTTTTTTAATCTATATTTTTTTTTTGCTTATTCATGTAATCTTCTCCTTCATTTTATTTTTTTTGGGTTTGAAAAAACTTAAAAATAGAATTAAGTAAAGTTTCTAACAAATATGGAAAACTTTAAAAGAGAGAAAAATATAAGGCATTCCTCTGACCTTTTGGTACAGATCCCATCTTTATTCTGTTTTCAAATTTATTTTCCAATAAAATATCCTCAAATGTTTTATCCTGTGGCTGACACATATGTTGCCGTCTTTCCAGGATATTATCCAGGCTAGACAATCTAGATTTCCAATATCCTCGCAAGAGCTGTTCAATATTCTCGATGATGCTAGTGAGAAAACATCATTCCTGCAAATTAGTGCCAAGGATGCGACGGTAAGCCCAAACTGTAGGCCCAATACCATAGCATTTGGGCCCACTTGTGGCCCAAAATCGTGGATACAAGAGCGCGTGTTGGTACTCGCGAACCAAGCGCGTTGGAATAAGTCTTCCAATGTCAATATCGCCGAATGATGTTTTTACCGAGGGTTGTTTCCCCGTACGCCTTTATATTTCTCTCTCGCGTCCGATCACTTTCTCGGATTTTCTCGGCGACTTTCTCACCTACCAAACAGCTCCCTCCGGCTCTTCTTCATCTTCTGTTCGTAATCTTCTGGGATCCTTGTAATTTCTGTTTCCTTTCGGCGACTAATCTCTTCTAATCTATCACTGTTCTACTGGTACGTGATCGGACCACTGCACTTTTCTTTTGTGTAAATATAGATATAATTCACGCGTTCATATGAATCAGAGGCTTCGCAAGACGTAAGTGGCGTTTCCCCTCTGCCGTAAACAATGGTTTTCGTTCTATGTGGTCATCCCAATTTCTATTTTTCTCTGTTAGGTGGCAACGAAAACCTATGAATAGGCACTAGCCATGAAGGGGGATCATGAATCTGTAATCGCTGGTGGCGAAAACTGATACAAAATCTGTACTGCCTCGCTTGATAGATTTATGTATTTCTTTAGGGAAATAACTCAAGTATGTCCAATGCCTGTCATCGATTTTGTTCGATGGATTTTGAACTTTCTGCTTTTGCTCAATTTGTAGATTTTCAAATCGTTGATTTTAGGTAGGGAATCTGTGTTAGTTATGAGGGATTAGAGTAAAATTATGCAGTGTAATGGGTTGATATTGAGGAATATGGAAGAATTTAGTTTCTGAGTTATGGGGTTAGTGATGTTTCCTTCGGTTTTTACACCCCTTTTTCCGTGATGACCGTGTATAGGATATTCCATCCGCATAGATGCCACTTGCAAAATCCAACCCCTCTAATTCCATGGAGCTGGTGAAGCAAGATGGAAATGATTCTCTCGATATGCTCATCAGGCGGGCTGTTGGAAGGGAGTCCTTTCTTACCTTCCCCAGACCCGAAAATAATCCAGTCCAGTTGTTCCAACTTCTCAACGCCTTTGATCAGCCAGGTTTTACCAAATTCTCTAGTGACTCTTGATTTGGGTGGATTTTGTTTTTTACAATGCTGCAGGAAATGACATCAGGCTAAGTGGGCATAGGCGACTGTGATTATTGTGGCTGAGGGTTTGTCGTATTAATGCCCGCCGGTCATTTCTTTGTTTGTGGCAGAGCTCCCTGGTTGGCCTTTGCTCACCCCTTTGAAGGTACAAATGCAGAAGTGTCAGAAGTGCTCTAGGGAATTTTGTTCACCTGTTAACTACAGAAGGCATAACCGCTTGCATCGGTGTTCAAGAAGACCTGACAAGGTTTGCAACTTTGCATAGTCCTGAACTAATCCTTTTATCCTGATTTTATTTCTACCGCGCTCATGGTGGCTTTTCGTTTTTTTGTGGTGTGATCTGAAGATTGTTTCCATGTTATCCAGGATTATGGCAGAGATAGGAACATACTGGGAGCCTTCTGGGATAAAGTGATTTTCCCTTTTATTACTTCTTTCTTGCTTATCGGAGCATTTCTTCCCTTACTTTGTGACTCTGCCTAGTCCTCTCGTTTGTTTGCAGCTCTCCATAGATGAGGCGAAGGGGATTGCCTCATTGAAGGGCATGATGCTGGAGGTACAGTGCTATTCTTTTAACTAATGCATTCCCACTGTTTGTAAAAGCATTATTTAGCTTGGTCTGCTAAACATATGATAAACATCTTCGGCAAGATGAGCTAGGCAAAGTGCTCCCCATTGTTGTTGGCCACATTCTGTCGAAGATTCTACATTTTGTGATTGTTATCAACGCTTAGTTGTGTGTTAGTTGCTTGTATATTGTTTCTAAGTTGTGGTACCTTATGCACATTAGGATTTCCATGCAGTATGCTTCATAGAAGTCTATATGTTAAAAATAGGATTAAAATCAAAAGCAAGCTTTTAAGCTCTAGTTCTCATTCATTGCGATACCAACAGCTATAACGCCTAAACATGTATAAAATACATATTAAATCCTTTATTGTCTTCAGACACATGTTTTCATGAGTGGGTGTTGGTTGGTTTATCCTTGCTGTACAAGTGTCCTGTCAACCATCAACAGTCTCTATCTGGCATAGATAATGTCTTTACTCTAATGCTTTATGTTGTGTTTGGGTGCTTGCAGGAAGTATCTGGGCCATCTGTTGAGACGGCATTAATGACACTTATCCAGAAACCAGGATTTACTGCCCTGCCACAATATTATCTTAGAGCTGGTTCTGACCTTTTGGTACAGATCCCATCTTTATTCTGTTTTCAAATTTATTTTCCAATAAAATATCCTCAAATGTTTTATCCTGTGGCTGACACATATGTTGCCGTCTTTCCAGGATATTATCCAGGCTAGACAATCTAGATTTCCAATATCCTCGCAAGAGCTGTTCAATATTCTCGATGATGCTAGTGAGAAAACATTTCTGTGTGGTGCTGCTGCATCGATGCAAAAATATATTTTTGATGGGGAAACTGGTAAAAACGCATTGGAGGCAAAGAATGTTGCTGCTTGCACGAGCTTTCTTCTGGAACAGAAATTGGTAAAGTTTTTTTTTTCTCTGGGTTCACATTTCCTATTTGGTATGACTAGTGATTGTATACGAAATCTTCAAGTACTTAAATTAAGGACTTCAAATAATATGCATGCATGCGTATCAGTTATGTTCATTTCATTTATTTGCAGATTGAAGCTTGGCTTGCTGACAAGGATGCAGAATCATTAAGGTGTCAGAAGTTACTGGTTGAAGAGGAAGAAGCTGCTCAAAGAAGGTATCTGTTTAAAGCATTCAATGAAACTGTTATGTCATTGACAGAACAATGCTCAACCAAAGATTCTATATTTGGTCTAATTCTAATATACCGATTCTTATTTCTTGCAATTCAATTTGGAACAGGCAAGCTGAGCTCTTGGAGAGGAAAAGGAAGAAGAAGCTCAGGCAGCAAGAACAGAGAGTGAAGGAGCAGAGGACTGAACAGAAAGAAGATGCTAAGGAAAGTGAGAGTACTACATCAGAAGAGCAAGAAGATCCAGCTGAGCCATCGAGTCCATTGTCTGTAGTTTCCGATTCTGAGGCACAAAGACCAGATGCTATACCGGGAGAGGATTCTTCATCCCTCGAGGGTTCTGAGGCTTTGGAAACCAACGGTGGTGCAAACTGTGAAACTCAAGCAATGATTAGCAGCGGAGCTTGTGATGATGGTTTGGGCAATGGCCATAATATGGAAAGGCGAGGTGGTCAGAGGCAAATGGGCCCTTTTCGACGGTTACTTCCGTCAAAATCACAACGGGAAATGCCAAATGGGTTCCATTCAAATCCGGTTTCTCATATTCCAAAACCTGGAGGGATGCTGAAGAATGGAACTAACAGAGACGCGAGGGTATCAGCAGCAGCCAATACTACTAAAGTTTGGAGCCGAAAAGCAGATAATCCGAGATCCATTTCGCAGGATGCAGCCGTAACTCTATCGGGTCAGACTAGGAACAGCAAAGTTTTGATCGGATCGATTTGTGTAACCCTTGGAAACGACGGTCCCTGTGGAGGACATGACCAAACGGATTGTGGTGAAGAGGATGAAAGGACTAAGAATATTCAGGCGAAACCTCCGTCCAAGCAATCGACTGTAAAAATATGGAGACCGGTGAGCAGGCATGGGACCAAAGCCTCAAAACAAGTTGAAAATACCGACAAAGAGCTCGAGCCAAATATGATTCTCCGTCGAAGCAACAAAGGCAAGAGTGCAACTCCCGGCGAAGATAAGATCACGAAAGCCCACGCTGCTCATCATGGAAGCTTGCAGTTTAACAGTCGAGAAGCGAAGGCATTTCTTGCACAGAGTAACTTCTCTAACCCCTTTCTCTCTTGCCCATCATATACATCCACGTCTCCTTAACACTGATTGATATGTCTCATAAATTAAAGGCCAGGGCCTTAATTATTGGATCACTAACCATTCTTCAGGATGGAAAGAGGCAACCTTAGCGGAGCATGTGACGTTGGTTGTGTCCCAACAAGGGTGCTAAGGTAAACAAACAGAGGAACACAGAATGAGGAAGAAGCCTGTCGTCGGGGAACTCAAAAGGAGTGTGTGATCATTCTTTGCTTTTTTTTTGGGTATATACTGAAGTGGACATGATTTTAGAGAAATTGAAAAGGCTTATGTATTTTGCTACTTGCAGAGATTTTCACAAGGGAAAATAGAAAAAGGACAAAAAAACAAAAAACGGAACAAGATAATTCCTCATTCTTTGCTTTTCTGCTTTTCATAAGGGCAAGGCATTGATTTCTGTTCCTTTTTTTTACAATTTTATTATGAGGGAAGAAGGGTTTCTAGTTTTTTTTTTTAGTAATTTTATTTCCCTCTCTTTATATTTCATATGCTATTTGACCCTTAAGTTTAGGTTGTGATCGATTCTAGCGGATCCTTTTTTGTATCAGATAGATGTTTTTTTGTGTTATTTTTCCAGATAAGATAATTGTTTTCTATTCTTTTTGTGAAAAAAAAAATTACTTGACGTGACTCATTCATGCCTTTAGTTCTTTTGGATCATTATATCAAAAATTTTGTTATTTTGTTATTTTGATTTCAACATATATCCTTCTCCAATTGTGATCATGTGATCTAAAATATATTGTAGTAATATTTTGATTTTATTGATTATAACGTTAAATTTATGGTAATCACACTAATTCGTTATGTTCATATCGTGTATATCTTACTAATATTTTGATTAAAACATCATAAATTTAACGTTATGAACAATAAGATCAATATGTGATCACATTATATTTCAGATCATATTAGATTATATGGTCACAGGTGAGAATGGCATGTGTTGAATTTAAAATAACAAAGTAATGATATTTTTGATAATGTCCTTTTTCGGTATAGTGTTTCCTAGATTTTTATTTTGTTAATATAATTCTCTTTACTTCATGAGCTTTAAGTTTAGGTTGTGGTTTTCTGCTTTTTCAAGAAACAAGTGGTTGCAAAAGATCCTCTCAAACACAAAAGATGTTTTCCCCCTTAAAATCCAAAGTCTCCGATTTTATTAGGCAAAACAGGTCTAAAATTCTCTTTCATAGTGAAGCACTATCCAAAAGAAATAGGTCTTCTCTCTATATAATTCTATTTTTTTCTCAAATAAATAAATGGATTATGAAAATTTTATAATTCCCATGTTTATGTTTGCCAATTTGGGGTTACAAGTGTTACTAGCGCCCCTCTGTTTTAAATTGCTGCTGCGCCTGACACCGAAGGTGTCCTTGTCAGTTTTAACTGACAAACAAAGATACTGACTGCTGCCCACACACTGACACACATATTTATGTCAAGAAACCAGTTTACTGCATCTATACATACAGACATATATATATATATGTATATTTGGTATGACAGTCTATGAAAGAATGCCCTAATCGATTTTTCACAATCAGTACCTTTGCACCTACACATCTGTACATTCTTTTACATTCCCATCATTGGGACAGTTTCCCTATATTTGTTTTTGTTAGACCAAAATCTTACCACTAGGGAAAAAAAAAACTCACCAGGTTTTGTTAGCAGATTTCCGTGACTCAGGTCGGAGAATCCCGAGATGAAGAAGGATTTTTCCTTCTCTTTTCCTCAGCTGACACCGGAGCTTAAACCCGGGAAGAAACTCCATCTATTTCCGAGGCTATCGCCTTTCCCGGCCACCTTCTCGTTCGCCCACCACTCTGATCCAACCGCCGGCTTCTCCGACATCTCTTCTTTTCTGTTGTGAAAGTCGAATTCTTTACTCGATCCCCGCGAGAAAGATCGCAGCTTTTGAGTCTGATCGCTTTCTGTTTCTCCATAACCTTTCTCAGACATATTGCCCGAAGTTTCCCTCTGGCAGCTGTTTTGTCTCTCTACCGATGTTTCCTCTGTCTCGATTTGGTTGCTGTCTTTCCCTCTGTCCTCCGTACCATCTGGCTCGGATCTGTTTAGCTTGCTTGCGAGGCAACGAGCTACATCTTCGCCAGTCAACTCGAAAGAAACTCTGATCAACTGCGACTTCATCGTGTCTGGACGCGTGGTCTGAATTTGCCAGAGATGCTACCTCTGAGATCTGATTCTCTAGAAGAGTGCCTTCAAGTGGTGCAGGCCATACACCATCGGGTGTCATAGTTCCGGAACCGAGTCTTGAAATCCCGACAGCATTCGGCGTCACTGAACCCGAACCCAACCTTGAGCCTTGCCCAACAGGTGTGATGGATTCAGAGCCAAACCTCGAACCCCATTTCCGAGCTGAGAAGTGCTCGAAGCCCAAGAACTTTTGAGGTTCACCTGAACGGAACTCTACGACGGGACACTTACTTGGGTAAGGAGAAGATGTACCAGATTTTGATATCACAGACCCGGGAGAGATTAGATTAGCACCAGGGCTCTCCGGATACACCTGATGAGACTGAAACTCGTAGTGTGATGACGAGAACTTCCGGTTTATCCCGCCACAATTCCTCCAAGCTCGCTCCAACGATGATGTCAACAACTGAGCAAAGGGCACTTCAGGGGTAGAAAGGGTAGTAGTCATGTGAACCGACTCAGAAGGTGGGGTGAAAGCTGCAGTGGAGGTTTCGGTCGTGAAGGCAGAGAATGCGGGAGGAGTGACCGGTGTGGTTTCATGAGTGACCGGTGTGGTTTCATGCGCATAAGATCCAATAGCAAAGACCGATGAAGGTCCAGAAGGGGAATATGAATTGACTGTGAGGGAAAGTAGACCAGCAGCAGGGGATTGAGTCACTGACGGAGGATCCGATTGCAAAAACGACGCAGGAGATGAAGGAGGGGCAATGAAGGGAAGGACACTCCGATTTGAAATGTTCGAGTTTTGGACGGTAGCCATTGGAACTCCAGGTGCGATCGGTTCTGGGACGAATACAGCGTGGCCGATCCGTTTATTGTTCCTTCGTGATCCGAAACACGAGTAAAGGCTCAAGCAGCTTCCCCATCTTCTCTTCTGAATCCAAAGCAGATCAAACAAGACTCTTAGGTTAACAGAACCATAATAGCTATCTTTCCTGACCAGAGAGGATAACTTCCCGGCAGAATCAGAGGTGAAGAAAAATCAGATAACGAAAAGGATCACATCATCAGCTTGATCCGATTCCATGAATCGAAATCGGCAACCGAGAAATCAAATAACTCGAACTTCGTAGAGAAAGCGGGATCCAAATTCGAATCTTCGTCCATCTTTGTCGTCGTAGCTAATAAAGTAACACGGGTTCGAGATAATATCTGGCAGAAGCAGTAGCTGATGCTGAAGCTTCCACTGGTCAAGCAAAAATGGAAAAACCTACTTCCTTTTTGTATCATAAACCAGATCAAACACCGAAATCCTGAAAACTCTCAGCAACCAAACACGAGCTTCAAATCTATCGGGACCACGATTCACAACCAAAAACCACCGGAAAAACAGCAAAGACAATGATCTAATAACGCAAAGAGAACACATTCGATATATATATTTACACAAGAAGGGAACACAGCTTAAACAGTACCTGAACCGCCGTCGGCTGAACGCGGGACTCGGCGGAGACGATGGCTGTTGCGGCGGCGCTCACAGTCTCGACCGTACTGTTCACGTTCCTCATCCCCGATTCACCGGTTAATCACATCCAGATGGATTCCGCCCTCACGCAGTTCGATCTCAGCAAAAGCAGAGCAGATTTCCCCTAGAAAATCAAACGGAAAAAATTCCGAAAATTAATACAACATTAATGGAGAAAAAAACGAGACTTTATTATAATGGTTGAGCCTCTCTCTCTCTACGGGTCGTTATTTATCTTTTCCGGTTCTCATTCAATGAACCACCAGAAACTGCCACGTCATCCATAAAACACGATTGGGCCCCACTTATTGGCCTTTTTCTCCTTGAAAAGTTATTCCCAATTATTGGTCGTAGGATAAATATTTATTTATTTATTTATTATTAACATAATTCGAAAGAACAAAAAGGAAGAGAGGAGTAACGCATATAACATATTATGAGAGTTTTTTTATTAAAAGCAAAAAAAAAAGAGGGAATGGCCGAAATGACTGAACAGGCCTCGCTTCTTTATAGGATTTACGGTTGTGCCATTCAGTTATGACAGCGTTGCTATACTCGTGAGCATAATGCGCCGCTCTGTTCTTCCATTGGTTCGCGCGATCCTCGTGACTCCATTACCATTTTTAAATTAATTAATTTTCATATATATATATATATATATATATATATATTACACATTTATTTTTTTTTGGATATTCTTGGTATAGTTTCTAGTTATTCTTTCTATGGGTATGATTTAAAAAATCGAGCCAAATATAATAATCTACTCTTATTTTTATTATATGTATACAATAAAACATAAGAGGAATAATTTGTGTGACCTTTTGTCTTCTTTTTTTTCTCATTAATCTGCTTTAAGTCATAGACAAGTATCAAATCTTACTATAATAATAATCTACAAAAAGAATTCGACTCACTCGTATGCTTGAATTTTTTAGATTCTTTTACATAATTACAAAGAAAAATAGAATGAAGAATAAAAATTATATGATTTAGGAGGGTATTTTCTACTTTCTAAATTGGCTGGAAAATGGAGAAATAATGATATTTTTAATGGTCCAAAAGTGAAATTTTAAAAATGAAAACTAAAAGAATGGGGGTAGATGGATGTAAACAAAAAGTTGGGGCTTTTGGTAATTGCGTGAAAAGTTGCGCACGTGTGCATACCTTCTCGTGAGATGGATTTTGCCGCACCCCTCGTGCGTGCGTGTGTGTGAGTGTGACTGCGACTCCTTACCTTACCTCTCTTTTTCCCTTTTGTTCTTTTCCCTCGAGAATAAAATAATTTAACAATATATATTTAAAACAATTTAAATATCCACGTCAATTGTTTCGAATATTTATTATCTAATGAAACTAAATCATTTTAAATACGATTTTCATGATTAGAAATATGTGAAATACTGACATCATATTATATTTTTTTTATGGGAATATGTATGTGGGGCATAATTGAAAATTTATGTAAAGGTCGTTTACACCGATTTTGTGAATGTGAAACTGTGTAAAAAAAAGTAATTATTACATCAAACTATAATATTTTTAATAAAAAAATATGTCTTTATTAAGAAAGGCTATAACATGAAAAGCTTCTTTAATATCGGAGAGTTTTAACCTTTTCAATGCCTTTTTTCTTCTTTCCTTAAAATTATTATTATTTTATTTTATTGTTGTTGATATTTTTCTTGTTTTTGTAGATATATATATATCATTTGGTTATCATCATGACACCCTTCCATTGTTTTCACCCTTCACCTAAAACAGATGAATAAAAGAGCTCATTTTTTATATAAAAAAAATATGTATAATTCAATACGTTATAATTTTAACATAGTTGATAATGGAAAATATTCTGATAATTTTTTACTTCTGTTGATTATGATAAATATCGTATAGTACAATAATCACGTGAATGAAAGGATGTACAAGATTTTCTAAATAATAGATAGAGGTAGATACATATATCTACCTTTTGTATCATTGGCTTTCTAAACCGTACTTTATTAACTCGTTTTTAATCAACTTTAGTGGACTTTATTGTTTATGAGGTGTTAATGATTAACATAAACTTGTCGATAACAATAATTATTTATTCCTCAAATTAGTATTTAAACTTTTATTGGCTTTTCGTCCTTTTGTATTTTATGTCTTTCTGATTAATTAGCTGCCATACAATTAATGTATGAGTTTAATTAACTAGACAAGGCTTAATTACCCTAATTACTAGGGTTTAATCTTGCTCAAATGTTATCCGGGCCAGAACTTGTAGCTGTATATTTTCATCAAAACCACAGTTTGCATGTTGTGCACATCTTTTATAAATGATGCTACTAACACGGCTAAATTTCAAATTAAAAATATTTAATTTCTGAAAATAAATTTAAAATAAGTGATACTACTCTTTTAGTAGATATTTTGTAGATCTCATGTTGAAATGATCATTGGAGAGATGTACAATATAATTATGGTAAATAAATTGCCATCGGATCTTGTAATTGGATCGAAAATTCGGTAAACTTATAAACACTTCTTCCTCAAACATCCCACATGCTCTCCTCCCTTTTTTCTTTCTTTATATTTTGTTGCTTCTTCATTTGTTTTCTCTCTTATTTAATTATCCCCCTTTTAATAGCTATATATTTTATTTTATTGATTATCATACATTTGCATATATATACATATGTATTTTCATATTTTTAATAGACCATATATATATATATATATATATATTTGTATGGAGGCGGTGGTGTAAGAGTGTATCATATCATTTTGTAATGGAATTATTCACCAATAATAATTAACCATGGTTGATCTTATTTAGCTATTAAATTATCACCATTTTTTGAAAATATTTTTTTATAACACTTCAACGGTTTACAATAACGTCCCTCTCCTTCAATCATATATTCATCATCTTTTTTGTTCGTTATCTTATTTTCTTGTCATGAAAATTATGCTTGTTATAAGTAAATATTTGCTATCCAATCTGAAAATATTATCCTTAAAAATAAATTGATGCAGTTTTAACAAGGCAATTTTAGAAGAAGATCAGTTTGCGTAAACTTAGGGTTTGCCCAACTTTTTCTTTAGAAGAAAAAAATAGCACATGTAACCATGTCGCTATATATTTCATATTTTCGTTTATTTTCATATTCAATTTTAATTTAAACAACTTAATTTAATTTATTTATTTTTTGTTTCAGTCAATTTTTAGATTGAATTAATTAACAACTAAAATATCTACGTCAAAAGTAATCTTTATACTGTAGACCCAAAGCAGAAACTGGGCCCATGAAGGCCCAAGTAAGGCCCAAGTAAGGCCTTTTAATGGAGAAAGCCCATAAGATAATGAAGTAGGCTAAGGTTGTTTCCGTTGATAATTCAGTGGTTCATTTTATTGTACAAAGAGATCAATCATTTTCTCGTTCGGATTTCCAAGGATAAGTTAAAATCTTTATTTTGTATTTTTTTTTCTGGGTTTTTATTTTTCGAGGCCTGATGATGCGAGTGAGGAAGAGGGCTATGGCTTAAAGATTCTCCGAGGCTACAGACGCTATATACCATTCGAATTCGCCATGGCTATGGCCTCTCAGATTTCAGCTTCTTGTACATGTTTGTGTTCTTCGTTAGCAGCGAGTACGAAGTCTCATCTTTTAACCTTTCCTTCTCTTAAATCTTACCACAAAGCCTCGAAATTCGATCAATCCCTATGGATTTCTCATCTGGGTTCTTCTCATTTCTCGCCGTACATTGGTCTAAAGCATCTGGGCATCTCAATCTCGCGGAGATCTTCAAAGACAGGTGTGTTTCCTCTTCTGTGTTCGTGGGTTTTTGTCGCATTTTCGATTCTTTTTTATCTGGGTAATGTAATTTTTTCAATACCTTTAAAGTGATTGGTGTTTGTTGCTCATATAGAGAAGAAGAGAAGGTGTAAAGGTATGGTGGTTCGAGCATCTCTTTTTGGAGTTGGAGCACCTGAGGCTTTGGTAATTGGTGTAGTTGCTTTGTTAGTGTTTGGTCCTAAAGGCCTGGCTGAGGTTAGTGTCCCTTTTTTCTTGCTTTTTTCCCCAGATTGTTTGAAGATTGCTCTGAAGCTCTTTAGGTTAAAAGTCTACTGAATTTCATTGCCTTTTGTCTATAGGATTGTTTAGTTGTCTTAGGATCATGAACAGCCTCAATTTGGTTATTTATCTTAGGACTTGGTCTTTGCTTTATTTCTAAGCACAGTCTGTTCCTGGATGAACAAATCTTAGGTTTGAATCCTGTCTTATCGATGGATCGAAGACGAAATCCTTTTCTCAGTCTTGAATTGGGGCACAAATGGGTTTTTTTTTGTTGCAACTAGAAGGGAGATGGAAAAATCCGAATTTTCTTGATATGCAAACTGTTCAACCGAGCTTTTGAGAACGGAGCTATAGATGTCTGTCAAAGAGAAACTTTTGAGTGAAGCACCGTGTTCATTTTGTTTTCCGTTACCTCATCGGCTTCTGGACGCATGGATTAAGTCGACTTGCTATGATGCAGGTTGCTCGGAATCTCGGGAAAACTCTCCGCGCCTTTCAGCCCACGATTAGAGAGCTTCAGGTTTGTGTGTAAATTCCTTTCAATTATCCATTACATGTTTCGGAGAAACGAGGGTTGCTTTGGAAGAATTTATGTTGGTTGCTGCCATGTTTCTTGTTTGTGGGTAGGATGTTTCAAGAGAATTCAAAAGTACCCTCGAGCGTGAAATTGGCCTTGATGATATATCGGCACCAAACATGTACAACTCCAACAGAATGAACTATGGTCCACCTACTCCATCAGTCCCGAGCACTGAAGACCCTCCAGTTGTGAAAGATCCAAGTGAGTGATCTCATTTTACTCGGCATTTATCTCTCTTTTCTCGTCACCCTTCGTTTAAACATATAGTTTTAGTTGCATCTGTTCTTAGTCGGCTTGGTAATGAAAGTGTATGAACTTGATGGGTGTGATGTTATGCTCGGCATTGTTACAATGACTTGGCTCTGAAAGACCTAACTGCCCATCCCAGACAGATTTTCAGACAGAATAGGCGAATCCACGAGTCATCTCCAGGGGAAAAAATGATCTTTTCTTTTTCTGTTTGGAAGCATACTTCCAAATTCATGCTCTCAAGTCGATTCCTTGTAATGGGCAGATGGTGAGACATTGCCGAAAGCTTACACAACGGAGGATTACTTGAAAATCACGGAAGAACAGCTGAAGGCCTCAGCTGTTCAACAGCCCGAGCAGCCATCTTCTCCCGGCCAAATTCGACCCGAGGATCAGATTCAGGGTCAAGAATCCGCGGCTTTGCAAACACCGCCTTCTGGAGATAATATCCAGCCTCCATCACAAGCTCAGCCCAAAGGTTAGTTCAGATTTCTGATCATCAAAGAACCCCTCGTCTTCCACAAGCAAACCTCTGAGAAACCCTAAACTGAAATGCTTCTCTAATGCTGAAAATCTGGCAAAGAGCATTTACGTTTACAGTCTTCATATCTTTTTACTCGTGCATGATATTTTACGTTCATTGCATGCAGGAACAGAGAAAGAAACTGTGGAGGAAAGCCTTCCAACCCAAGATTCCAAGCGTCCAAATTGACTTTCTAATGCGATTTTGATCCGCCAGAGGGAGACGAAGCACTTAGCTCATTATCACATATCAAGCTGTTAGCGTGTTCTTGTAGAATTGATCTGACGTTGCTTTATGTAAGATTCTCGATTCTTTGCTTAGTGGATGGCAGCAAACATCAACTCTTTAATGGGCCGTAAATGGGCTTTCTATTGAGGGCCCATGTTGAACTGTAGCCCGAATAATTTTACTCCTATGGAAATTGGTCGTGTTTACAAATTTGCCGACGAAGCCGAAAACCCTAAACCCTAGAATTTTCCCTATAAAGGGCACGGCCCCCTGTACTTCTTCGCCGCACCATTTCTCTGTCGCGTTCTCAGTCTTCTGTCTCATCAGCCAATAATCCATTCGTTTCTCAGTTCGTCGGAGATGAGGCCTCCTGTTAGAGGTAACACGTTATTGCTCTTATCGTTGTGATTGGGCGTTTAATGTCACTCCAGTGGATGTTTTTAGCTGATCAGGCCACTATGTTTAGTTCTTCCCTTCAAATCCGGTTCTGGGTCTTTGTTGTTCTGTCTAAATTTCTCTCTGGATATATTATAGCGGGGTTTTGTGTTTCGAGAAGTGGGTTTCAGGGGTTTTCCTCTTCTAATCTGATTTTGGGTCTTTGTTAACTCAGGACGTGGCGGTGGCGGGTTTAGGGGAGGAAGAGGCGGAAGGGGCGCCGGTGGAGGTCGCGGCGGAGGTAGAGGCGGCGGCGGCGGAGGAAGTGCCATGAGAGGCCGTGGAGGTGGACGCGGCGGAGGGAGAGGCCGAGGAGGAGGAAGGGGAGGAGGTATGAAGGGAGGAAGCAGAGTGATTGTTGAGCCTCACAGACACGAAGGAGTGTTCATCGCTAAGGGTAAAGAAGATGCCCTCGTCACGAAGAACTTGGTTCCTGGTGAAGCGGTGTATAACGAGAAGCGGATCTCTGTCCAGGTGATTTGATTTTCTGTCGAATTCTCCCTTTGCTTAGCTTGCTACCCTATTTTCGAATCTTGCCATTGCCAAAGCTATTTTTTGGTCTTTCAAGCTTTGACTTTGTTTGAAATGACTTTGTTTGAAATGCTTTTCTATGTTATATATACTGCACGTATTTGTATTTGTGTGTTGGTAGCTTAAGAGTGAGGTTTGTGACTTTTCCGCTGGCAATTTAGATGCATAAGTTTTACATTTGAGGTAGCTTGATGGGCTTTGAGGTTGTTTGTGGATGGATGTTGATGACAATGTGTCCTATATATTTCGATGTGAATGATATCTCAAACTTTATTCAGTTTGAATGAGTTTAAGCAATGTTCATATGCTTTTGGTTTTTGATTTTGCAGAACGAAGATGGAACCAAAGTTGAATACAGAGTTTGGAATCCTTTCCGATCGAAATTGGCTGCTGCCATTCTTGGTGGGGTTGATAACATATGGATTGTAAGTTCATTTTCTTCATGCGTCGTCCTTAACTTTTGTCGAAGGACAGTTCTTTATGGTTACTCTTGTCTGTTTGTAGAAACCCGGTGCCAAAGTTCTTTACTTGGGTGCTGCATCCGGAACTACTGTCTCACATGTCTCCGACCTTGTCGGTCCTGTAAGTAACTTGTGAGAAAAAATCTATTACTTTTACATGAATTTTATGAAGGGTTTCTAATTATATTGCATGTTATGGATCTTGCTATGGCCAGGAAGGAATTGTCTATGCGGTTGAATTTTCTCATAGGAGTGGCAGAGACTTGGTGAACATGGCTAAGAAGAGAACCAATGTTATACCCATCATTGAAGATGCTAGGCATCCTTCTAAGTACAGAATGCTTGTAGGGATGGTTGATGTGATTTTCTCTGACGTTGCACAGCCTGATCAGGTTTTGTTTCTCTTTTCTCTCCATATCTCATAACATACAGAGCTTTTTGATGAAATTCTTTTCAACTCTAGGAAATCTGTTTCTTTTTTTTTCCTTTATTACATGTATATCCTGGTTTCTGTTATATCTGGCATGTGATGAAATACTTGGATTCCCCTTCAGGACATCATGGATGATGACAATCCAAGTTTCTGATGCTGTTAAGAATTTCTGTCTCATCTGTTCTTTTTATCCTCTTCAGGTTTTTTTGTTTTTGTCACAAATAAAAAAACCCTCTTTAAATGTGTTGAGCAAATATTTCTTAAACCTTAAATACACATGTTTTGATCCGTTTTCTCTCGTTGTCTTCCGTCCAAAAGTTTAGGTTTTAGATTTCTTGGGCTCAAAAGAGCCAAATCATGTCTAGTTAGGCTTTTCTAAAGCTATAATCTCTAAAATCACTCAGCTTTGAACAATTTTACTTTCTGGGCAAAGCTCTGAGCTCGCGAGAGCCCTCGATCTTGTCTTTCGAATGAATTTTTGAACAATAATACTTTCTGGGCAAAGCTCTGAGAGCTCGTAAAGCAAAGAGAACGTGCTTCTCTTATTGCCCTTGTCTTTTCTGCACTTGTATGATTATTATTGAAACGATTTGCTTGAATCCTTGAAGGCAAGAATTTTGGCCCTAAATGCCTCCTACTTCCTCAAAGCCGGAGGCCACTTTGTTATCTCGATCAAGGTCCGTACCTCCTCTCCTCTTAACCCATATAGACTAGAAAGCTTGAATCTTGAACTGTTAAAGAGCAGGCAAGCTGTATACATACATACTCTTTGTGCAGGCAAACTGTATTGACTCGACGGTTCCAGCAGAAGCAGTGTTTCAGAGCGAAGTGAAGAAGCTGCAACAAGAACAGTTCAGGCCGGCAGAACAGGTTACCCTCGAGCCGTTTGAACGTGACCATGCTTGTGTGGTCGGTGGATACCGCATGCCCAAAAAGCAGAAGGCTGCGACTTCTTAGTTCTTGTTGTCTGTTAATGGCGGATCTCCTCAGTATCTGGCTTTGGCTTTTGGTAGAGCAGCAGAGATGCATGCTTTTCATTTCTTGGTATTATATGTTTTGGCATACCAAATTTCACTGGTCTCCTGTAATGTCGTGATATATCACTGTGTTTGGACGAATTATATACCGGTTAATGCGGAAGATGGGATTTATATGATTTTCATTGAGAAATCTGTTTCAATTTTAATTCTCTATTATCCTCTTTTCTTTCATATTGTAATTTTGAAATTACCCTTTTTTCTTTCATTGCACCTTTTCTTGGGTTCCTTCCCAGTAGGCAAAGGTAAGGAACATAACATAAGACGACATGGGGTTAAAGGTTTGTTGCCGAGGAAAAAACAACACACGAGAACACTTCCGTGTCGTCTATGATATTCCTTTAGGACAAAGCCCGTCCGCCTAAAACCGTGCAGGCTAGGATTCTTGGCCCTCAAAGCCGGTGGTCATTTGGCGATCTCTATCGAGGTAACGTTATCCAAACTCCACTCGTACCACCCGCCCCCTTTAACTCGTACAAGAAACCCTCGAGACGCTAAGGGGTATTATATATGTCTCTCCTTGTGGCTCAGGCCAACTGTATCGACTCGACAGTCCCAGCAGAAGCAGTGTTCCAGAGCAAGTGACGAAGCTGCAACAGGAACACTTCAGACCGGCTCGAGCAGGTCACTCTCGCAGCCATTTGGATGTGACCACGCTTGCGTGGTTGGCGGATACCGTATGCCCAAGAAGCAGAAGGCGGCTACAGCTGCTTAGTACCTTACACATTTCCTTTCCCCCTGTCCACGTCAAACTTCGCACGTGTTTTTTAGGGTTTTGTCTCCTGCATCCATGGATCTTCTAGAGATGTCTTTTGTCACAAAGATGAACTTTTGGCGGCTGATGTTGTTCTTGTGTTCGGCTGGGATCTTCCTTCCACGATAAATAATTATTGTTCGATTAGGGTTTAGGGAGAAAGTGGATCAATTTCTCAGTCTTGATCCTCTTCATGCATGCATGGCTTTGACACAACAATGTTTGCGTGGATGATCGTCGTTCTTTTTTTTTAAAAAAAAAAATCTCATCTATCAAATGATGAAATGTGACTTATAAATGTTTTTCCGTCCTCTTATTTAATATAGTGCATTTATTAGTATTCAACTTGTTACTTTCAAAAACATTTATATGTCCGATTTTTTCATGATTTAATAGATGGACGAAAGTGATAAGATACTTTTGGATTCAATTTTTTTTTTATAAAAAAAATGCATAAACATCGTATTCATTTTAACTTAAATTAAAATATTTTATTAAAATAATTTCTCTGCTTAAAATATAGTTTATTAAAAAATATTTCTTTGTTTTTTAAATAATTTTATATTAAATTGAAATTATAACCCATCAGCTTGTATCTAATTATATTTTATCTAATTAGATTGTATATGTGCAAATTTTGAAGGAAAAAAGGTCTATCCATGCAAAAAAAAATTATTCATTAACAAAAAAAAATGGTTTAGTTTTTCATTAAACAAATATTAATAAATCTGCCAAAAAGTTGGCTATCATCAGTTTGACGGCAGGAAATATCAAATCGCCAGCTTTAACCCAATATGCCTATGAAAGACCGGAGGGAACCAACACTCACGTGCCCCAAACACAACTACGCGTATATTTTCACGAATCAATACACGACACGTGTCCTAACGGATCTAATCTAACGGCGCCTACGGTTTGACAGGGCCCGCTTAACGGTGCAGCTGCGTCAAAAGGTCGGGAAGTTTTTGTTCTGAGCCGCTTCTAATTCTCTGATGACGTGTCAGTGTTACTTCCCTGAAAAATCCTTTTTTTCATGGCACACGTGCGACTTCCATGTCGCACGGCAATATAGCACAAATACCCTTACTTTGCTACATAGACTTCACGGACTACCCTCCAAAACCCTAAAATTTTGGAAAAAAAAATAAAAGGAACAAAAGACATAATTAACCCTCTCACAAAAGTAACGTGATATTCCTCTCTTCATTTTGAATTCATCTCTCTCGTTTTCATTCTTTGATAACTCTTCATTTCTTTCTTAACTTTCTCTCTCTACTCTTATATTTCTCTCAACTCTTTCATTTTCTCTCTTCTCATTTCATTTTTATACAAGAGTAGAGAGAGATAGTTAAGAAAGAAATGAAGAGTTATCAAAGAATGAAAACGAGAGAGATGAATTCAAAATGAAGAGAGGAATATCACGTTACTTTTGTGAGAGGGTTA